TTTTTTCCTTCCCCCCATCTGGCACTGCTGCCCCAGAACCAAGCAAAAAATTCCTGCTCTTCCCCTCCATATCAAACTAAGCAAAATAATGGCAGTTTTTTACATCTTAAGCATTTTGCAATCATTCACAGTCAGGGTTCCTAACTGAATATGATGGAAGAAAATTTCATGTAGAAATGGAATATTTTTAACAATAATTAGGAAGATGATGTCTCACTGCTTAAAATATTTTAATTAGGTAAAATACCAAAGAGAGCCTGTAACCTCCTTTTCTGACATGCTGGATAATTTTTGTTGAGCTAAATAAAATATAGGATGGATCCATAGGAGCAGGTTCTATAAACTAGGCATTATTAAAAGAAAAATGAGGTGGAGCAGAAAGAAGACTATTGACTATTTAACAAATGTGTGTGAAGGCCAAACAAGGAAAGGAAAGGTTCTCCAAAACCAGCTTATAGTTCTTCACTGTTCTCTTGTCTTCCCACTCTCAGAAATAGTAAAATTAGTGGTGCTCCCCTTTCTTAAGGAAGATTGTTCTGTTCTGCAGCACCTTTCTTTTGTAAGATTTACCTACAGAACCCTTCAGATCAGTTAATCACTCCACCCTTTAAATTTTCAGCTCTGGATTATTTCTTAAGAATATACTGGTTGCAAAGGCAGGCAAACAGACAGGCTATTGTTAAGATATTTTTCTGCTTATCTTGTAATAGCTTTCAACATCTAAATGATGCTTTTCAGCACCATTGGGATTATCCATTACCCAGCAGCTCTTGGTGTAAAAATACTACAGATTGGTTTATGATAACATCTATTTTAGATATAATATGGTGTATAAATAGTGTTTGTGTTCAAAGAAATAGGGTCAGATAAAGCAGATATAAATTTGTGATCATTGCATTGCATTTGGTTTGGGTATTTGCAGGCACACGTTGTATGGGAATGCACAGAACAGACAGTGAAACCAGCATTTTAGACATAATATTTTTTATTATTTCACTATGTTTTTAATTTATTTTAGAATATCTATATGGATTTTATACAGATAAGTGCACCGTTTATGTTTCCAAAATAAAACATACTGATAATTTTTTAACTGTCCTCTTGCTGAAAGTGATTTTAAGATCAACATCTGGAACTGAGAAATAGGAAGGAAAAAGTAATTTTTAAATACTGTTTTATACCTGAAATCTTTTGGAGTCATGTAATTTGCTTCCTTAGGAGTTGCCTTTGCTGGGTTTGTGTGTTTATTTTGTACACACAGCAGAGCCTGACAGCAGTTAAATTGTCTAAAATACCAGCAGGAGTCCCTGCATGAATACACAGCTTCACATTGCTTATTTTTATTGTTCTGGTTTGTACTGCTTCGAACACTGCATTCAGCATCCTGCAAGAAATTAAGTTATCTGGAAACCCAGTGTACAGACAGAAGACCTTTAGAACTGAGATAAAGAAGTACTACTGCAGGGAAAATCTGCACTGACAGCCTTTGTTTATTATTTTCTTCCAAAAATGTCATTCTTTAGCTTTTCAAAAGTAAATTGCCAGCGTTTGAGCCTTTCTGTAGAATAATGGTTTTCCTGTATACAGCAAGAAAATTATTTTTCTTGAGTTTACACATATAAAGGTTGCTTCCCTGTGCAAGGCTGTAGCCTGGGAATATTGAATGCATTTCCCTCATTCTCTGATTTTTTTCAGTCTCTTAGTCTTTGCTGACTGATTTCTACACAATACTCTGTCTGTGCTTCTTAGCAGAGAGTGAGGAAGAAGATGACAATGAAATGGAAGTGGAAGACCAAGACAGTAAAGATGCAGAAAAGCCAAACGTCATTAATTTTGATACCAGTTTGCCCACATCACATATGGTATGTTTTTTATATATTGTCCATTAAATACATCTTGAAGAGGTTTGGATTGGGTTTGTGTAGTTCTGTTGTAATGTTCTTAAGCCCAAGACTTAATTTTAGTTTCATAGAATCATAAGATCATTGAATGGTTTGGACTGAAAGGACCTTAAAGCTCATTGAGTGCCACTCTATGCCGTGGGCAGGGACACCTCCCACTATCCCAG